TTGCATCATTTATGTTCTGTTTGTAACTAGGTATACATGGGGACCTAGTCGCAATTTCAACTCTAAGATTAGAGGAGTTATATATATATTAGTCTATATTGTATGTAAGCCATTTGAGTTTTCAGGCAAAATAAAAACCAGTATAGGTATCTGACATCAACAACTCTTCTTAAAAATGATAAATAATTTTAAGAAAGATATTTGAAAAATTCTATTTATCCTCTTAAACAAGATAACAACATAAAACAAACTTGACTGCAGCAAGAGCAGGCAGAAAGCAAAGTACTTGCGTTCATATTTACACAAGCAATATTGTTCTTTAAAGTGTTGTTCAGCTAAGAATTGTTATTTTGTTATTTACTTTTCAGCTATTTGCAGTCCCAGTTGTCAAAATGGTGGAACATGCATAAGACCAAACACTTGTAGCTGCCCACCTACACATTATGGTTCCCACTGCCAATCTATAAGCATGTGTTTTGTGTTTTGATTAGTTACATAGATTTCTGTGACTATTCTTTAGAAGTAAATTAATCCAGATGAAATTTGTGTAAAAAAGACAGATTTTTAATTTAATTGTTTCTTTTTGAGTTTGGGGTGCAGAATTCTATTACTATAAGATTTTTTTTCAATAAAAATAACCATTACTCAAGTAATTACTTGCCAAAATGCTATGATGACAAAACATTCTCATATATGCAGGTCAGTGTTCCTGGAAATTCCCCTGTTACCCTGGTACTTGCAGTTCTGGTAGTAACTGTAGGTGTATGCCTGGATTTGGAGGAGCACACTGTGGAAGTAGTAAGTCATTTTGTATTTGATTTTCCAATATGTTGCTGCTTTGTTTTTTTCCAAGCAATATTTTTTGACACTGTAAAACACCATATCAATAATCACAAATTTTTTATGTTTTGGTACATTGGTTGCAATCCTAACATTTTTTCACATTTTAAGTTCTAAGATGGGGTATGAATTCACTTTTTAATTTGAAATAAAAAATATTGTATATTTGCAAATCATTAACGATCTATGTATTGACTGAAAATGTGAAATATTTTAAAGATGTTTCACACTTTTTGCATTTATTTGCACTGCATATTTTTGTTCATTAGTTATAAGTGATTCACAGAGCCCAACCATAATGTCCTGTAAGGCAACCATGAGTGACCGGACAGGAACCAGGGATCACTTGGAGGCAGTGGCCAGCTACCCTTCAAACACAACAGTTTATGTGAAGAAACAGGATTGGAACCATATTAAAGTAGAGTGGACAAGTAGATACAGTTTGACCACAGCACCACTTCGTCCTTCTTACATAAAGAGTATAATGCTTGGAATTGTGGGTGGAAGTGCTTATCTGAGGTGGCATGCCCAAGGTAAGCTGAACATGAATAGCATAATTTTTTTTTTCTATGCAGACATAATTATTTTGGATCCAAAAGTTAGAACAAAAAATATTTATATTTTTCCAGATCTTTTTTCACACAATGAATTGGTTTAAAACTTATTTTTTCATGTAATATTTAATGCACAAAATGTTTGAGTGGCTAAATGCTTGTATAAAAGTAATTATGAAATGGTTGCTTTTAAAAGCTGTATCCAAGCTTTATGAAAGAATTGCTTATGGCATAAGGTTCATGTACATGAGTTACTGTTATCTGGCGATTTGGACATGATTTATTACTAAATAACTAAAGCCTTTAATAAATATATTTACAAGTGTTGCAGATTGTACCTTGATGAATTAAATAAACCTAATGGTCAGGTACGTGGCACGTACATCCATCTGTTCTGCTGAACAAAACTACTACTACTGGGTAAATTGGAACCACGTGAAAGTAGAGTTCTGACCCCCCTTCGATTTATGGTCCACTCTTGAAATTAGAATTTCGACTAGCTGAATCATAGATCTAAGCCATTCCAAATTGCACCTTTTCCCCTCTAAAATACCAAATATTTCTGGCCGCTTCAGCAGGCCCTGAAGCTAATTTTAATGCCAAGTGGGGGAGGGGGGAGGGTCAGCTTCACATCAAATGGTAAAGTCTACTTATTTTTCAGAAGTGGGGGAGGGTCAGCTATACATCTGCAGACCCCCCCCCCCCCCCCCTTCAAATAATCCTGGACCGGTCCCTGTATAATGCATTAAGAACTTAGCATAAAATGGTTTTCTTGGGCACTCTTTTTAATTTCAAATGTTTTTTCAAAGTTGATTTTTGTGTTTTAAAGTTCTCTGTTTTCCCTGTTAAGTTTTATCAGACCGCTTAAGATTTCAGATTTCTATTGCTTCCAATATAATTTATCCTTTACTTTTGAATCTTGCTTATGGCCTTTATATCTGATAAAAAAATAGTGTGCTTGACCAACTCCACAATTCTTTATTCTAAATATCTTGATGCCAGACTCTCATCTAGGGATGGGATATAATTTAACAAACCAAGTTCCCTGAAAGAAGCCTAATCTTAGTGTTGAGTCTAAATATGCTGTTTGCTTTCAAATTAATTTGAGTAACAAGCCCCATCAATATATAATATTGTATTATGATTAATACTTTCGTGGCATTACCTTCAGCTTTAAGTCAAATTTGATAAAATCATAGTACAAAGTATTTTCGTGCACTTAGCTCCCACCATCAAACAAAGCCTATAGCTTCAAAAAAAATTCTAGCTGTAGTAATGGGTCAGCCAGGTTCTCTTATTTTAGACACAATCGGCCGATTTCATAAAGGAGGTTTAACTAAACCTAGTTTAAGGCTAAAACCTAGTCTAGCAAAACCTGGTCTAACTCAAGACCTAAATTGCATTTCACTAACATTGTAGGAAAGCCAAAAAACCAGGTTTAGCTAAACCAGTTTTAACTTGTCCTTGACCTCCTCTTGAATGTAACAGGATTACATAGACAAAGAAATCATTGAACTGTGTCAATCAGGTAGGCGTAAATGAACAGATGACACACACTAGCGTTGAAGCAGATAAGCTGTGTAGCTCATATGAGAAAAAAACTTTGGAAGTAAAGAGCACGTGAAAATGAGCCGAAAGAGAGCGGAGAATTTTTCTGCTGAAGAGAAGGGATACATCTCAGAACTAATAATGGAGAAGTCCAACATCATTGAATCAAAGAAAGCTCCGGTTAAATGCTGCGATTTCTCAATGTATAGGGTGCTAATCGATCCTCTATCTGTGCTATGACCTCACGTGCTATTTCTTTAGAAATTCTGAACCTGATTTTGAAATCTAGCTTGTTCATCATAGAAATCAAAATAATTAACCCTTGCTCGAAAAATGCGTCGGCGACGCTCGGGGCGTCTTCTTGCGTCCAAATTGTAAAGTACTCGAATAGCACGCAAGTCTACGTCAGCCATCTTTTTTTCCAAGCTACAGAGTTAAACCTGGGTCTGACCAGGTTTATTTTTAGACTTGGTCCGAGTCCATAATCCGGGTATCAAAAACTTAGACCTCAATTATGAAACACAAACCTGTCAAGACCAGGTTTAGAATGATGTTAAGCCAGGTTTTACTAGACCACTGGTCCAATACTAAAACCTCCTTTATGAAATGCAGGCAATCCCTAAACCTGGTGTAAACTCACTTTAGACCAGGTTTAACTTTAAACCTCCTTTATGAAATCGGCCGAATATGACTGCTGAATTGACATAAACAAGAATCTCATGGGCCTCTAAGATGATTTGCCAAGCGGTCAAGTCTACTCATTTTTCAGATGGGAGGTACCTTTCTTCTGAGACTCTTCCTTGTGGAAATGGTGACAGTGAAAGTAAACCTAACCAAGGCATCTCCAGTTGCAAAGTGGAATACAATTTTCCTAGACAAACTATAAAGCATGAAGACAGGTAATCCTTACAGGTTTTTATGTCAATAATGTTGTTTGCTGATTTTCAATGAAAATAAATTGTTTGCATAGTGAATTACCTATAGTTATAGCATTCGGAAAATTTAAGATTATGAAAACAGCAAGAGAAACATTTAGGATCTTATTAAGATAAGGGTGAGTTGTATTAACTTATGTAGATAAAGAAAAACAAAAATGAGGTTTATGTTCAAAATGAGACAGGACAGTGCACCATGCTATTTGAAAAGGGCCTTGGCATGAGTGACTTTCATGTGATTATATTTTGTTGTGAATTAGAGAAGTTCCTTGTGACATTGTGACTTGACTATATATATATATTTTTTATTAACTTGGGGGATAACTGTTCTTTGCATCATTTTCTATTTGTCATATGACTCCATAATTTCCAAATGATAAGAATTTTTTATTGCCATAGGTTGCAAGTGGGTATATCAAGCAAGAATGGAGGCTACAAGGCTGTGTTTAATACAGATACTAATTCAGTTACAAACCATGTGATCAAAGGACAAGAAGCAACCAGAAATTTTACCTACATTTTCGACTTTGAGGAACCAAAGCATATTTGCCGTGACCTGAAAAAATGTGCTGAAAATGACTCTGCCTTAATGACTTATGTGGCAAAAAATGGAAGCCAGGTAATATAATTTATCATTTTTTTTTTTTAATTTTGGATTTTTAAAACGATTTTATGAAATAAGGCAATTCATGCATACCTTTTTTTTTTAGGTGCATGCCCTTGAACTTTAGTGAAAAGCCTGTCACATTTTTGGTTGAAAATTTTAATATGAGTATGATGTGCATGTCCAATTACAAATAAGATACAGGAGCAGATCCAGAGATATTTTCTGACAGTCTCCCAAGTTATCTTTGTTAGTCCATCCTCCATTTTTGACCGTCTTTCGAAAAAAAAATTATATACCTGTCAATGTAAACTTAAAAATCTGAGAAGAAGACCCAGAAGACAGCCTCAATCTGCCCCTGAGATAAAAGGGATAAACAGTTGCTTTTGTGTCTCTATGATAGCCTCAGCTGGAGATCCAGTGGGCTAACTGGGTAGATGTAACATCTGGTATTGAGAAGTACATTTACACAATCATCCGTGGTACCATAGAAAGAGGTTCACCTGTACATAAGAACGAATGGAGAAGTGGGAATCCATGGCCGATATACATCGTGAATACAGGAACTTATGCTGTTCTTCTAAAAGTTGTAGACGGAGCTGGAAATGAAGCAACTGTGTCTAAAGGTGAAAGTTATAGTACATCCTAGATGTGACATATGCAAAAGTTATAATACAGTATAAAAATAATGACAGAATTAATGATTTACTTTTAAAACATTAATACTTTTAAGGGTATAAATATTTTGACATTGGGTTTCATTTATTTTTTCAGAGATCAATGTTGACGAGTACCTACCCACTGTCAGTCCAAGTAAGTTAATTGATCAAATCAGCATCGAATTGGTCTTGGGTATAGGGTGTGTATAACAACTTTAAAAAACTATTTTGTGCCTGGAATTTAAATATTTTAAAGATAATGAAATGTTTTTCTTTGGGTGGAGTTCTGTCAGGACTGTACTGTTGGAATGTTGCCAAGTTGTTGTTTGTATCAATTGAAATATGGCATTAGAGTTTGAATAAATTGTCCTTTTTTCTTATGATATTCAGATTTTTGTCGCAGTCGAAATTGTTACCCAGGATTCTGTGTCCCTGACACTGGAAACTGTATCTGCACAGCTGGATTTAGTGGAGACAACTGTAATACAAGTAAGCTTTTTCTTTATTTTTAGACAGAGAAATTTTCTAGTGCCCATTTATTTACATCTTTTGGCTTGCATACCCCAAAACTATGTATATGAAATCTTTTTTAAGCCACTAAGCTTATGCCAATTCATCAGTTTTTGTCACATGTTTTGAAATTCCTAAATAACAAACTTATTTTTCCTAAGAATACTGATGCTTTGTGTCTTTATTTGAATTTACATTTTTCCATTTTTCAGTCAATTTAAATTCTGAACATCATGTAATTCCACTGTGTAATTTCTTTTAGTCAGTGGAGATATCCAGGATCCTACCATCAAGACAATACAGATTATGCTGACTGCAAATGACAGTCTACCCTTGGTGTATGAGAATGCAGCAGTAGAATCAAACATCATCAACATGTTCACCAATAGGCTTGATTTGGCATATTTGAAGTTGTCGTGGGAGGCAGAATACAGAATGATGGGGGATTTACCATCAAGACCACCATCTGTATCAGACTTCAGAATAGGACTTTTTTCATCAAAGGCTGAAATAGAAATTGAGTCAGCTGGTAAGTTTTCTTAGTTCAAAGTTAAAATGAAGGCTATCATAAAGTCTAAAGTATTATATATGCAATTTGATAACAATTTGTTGAGCCCAATAATGTTTTTACATTAAAGGCTCTATTATATATGTACTAAGAAAGCATAGATAGAATACTATGTTATAAATAAAAACAATGCTCCATTTAGATTGATGATGATTATGATGATAAAAGTAGCATGACAGGTGTGTTCTGACAAATGACAGCAAAAATAAACATTGTATGATTTAAAAAAATATTTTTGTGAAAATGGTGTATACATATTTGACTAGCAATCTGAATAATGGTTTCCACAATTCAAAGTTTGAAAGATATTATTTCTCAATTTATATAATGATGATACCAGGTGGCAGCACAAAGAAAGAGGCTACCCTGGACTGTCTTAAAGCTGACACCTCTTTGGAGTCCTTTGTATCCTGCAGCCAAACCCACAAACTGTCTGGTTCTAGAAAAGACCGGGACAAGTAAGATTTGCTTTTACTGAGATGCATTTGTTTACAATAAGTCATGAAAACATATCTCTTTTTTAAGTGCTGATGTACAACATGTATTGGATTTCAGTATTATTTGAAACAAGCAGTTATGAATAATAGTTAGGAGAAATACATATTTTCAGGAAAAGGCATTCCAGTCACTAATAAAAAAACTTTTGATCATCAATTTTTCAGACTAAAAATTGTCCTCAAAGCTGAAAATGGTGGCCACAAGATGGTTTCTGGGCAAAATGTTAAATACCAAGGAAAAACAGTTCAGCGCCAAATCAACATCCACTATGATACGGAGGCTCCGTATTATTACTGTGCTGCTGGCTCTGGGAAATGTGAAGATGAGGAATTGAAAGTAGCAATTGGACAACAAATTAGTGTTAATAAGGTCAGTTGCTCTTGAAAGGATGGTATATGCTTTGGGATTGACCTTGCCCTCACTGTTTCTATTCCTCCACCCCTCCCCTTTTTTGCCCTCAAGTATTTTGATTGATGAAATATTTGTCTTGCCTATGCCATCTAAAGAGCATATTAACCTCACTGGTTACAAAAAGAAATCCATTTTTGATATCACACATGATCGAAGGTTTGTAGTGGGGAAAAAAGGTGCAGAATCTTGGACAGAAAAAAAGAAAAGATTTGGATTTGAATGCTGCAATGTTTCTTATGTTTGAATATGGTGAAGTTGACAAATAAATGAAAGTGGAAAAAACACTATGAAAAAATTCTCATTTTCTTTAGCCAGTTCAAACTGTTTTTAAAAGTATTTGTCAAAAATTGTATATTCTGGCAATACTTTGATTCTTTTCATGCAATTCCTTTTTTTTTCTCATTTTCAGAAAGAAATACTTTTGACCTTATCATGGGGTGATAACTGGAAGGATGCATTGTCTGGCATTGCAAATTTCCACTACTCCATATACAGCTACCTCGGTACCAAGAAGATAGGATTGGAGGATGCCCCTCTTGATAATGGCTCTTGGACAGCAGGAGACAGGTTTCCAACATATGATGTGAAAAGTGATAAAGCTGCGTTTACAGTTGTGCTACAAGTGCAGGACAAGGCTGGGAATAATATTAGAGTGAGACGTGGTAAATAGATCTAACATAAACATTGTGAAATAATAAAACTGCATATTTTGTTTCATTCAGTTGTAGTTTTCATGGAGTTTTCAAGGTTCATTGGTCCGAAGGTTCATTGGTCCGAAAAACGGTAACATTTTCATCGGTTTTTTAATCAAGGGTTCATTGGTCCGAAGGTTCTGTAGTGAACATTCGGACCAATGAACCTTCGGACTATTGAACCTTCGGACTATTGCTACGGCCCCGTTTTCACACATAACTATTGGAAAAATATGGTGTGAGCACCATCATTTCTTCTAAGTATCTTCCATAGATTTTCTCAAGGAATTAAGTTATTATCACTGTAGTCAAGTGACAGGCATAATGATGATAATGTTTATTGGTACAAACAAATTGGTTAAAAAAAGTAGGGATTAATATTTAACAGCCTAATATTTGATGTTGGTTTTTTTTCTTCCATCTGTTCGATATAATGAGTAAACTTTACTTCTTTTAAGATATTGATTTGACCAGTCCAAGAGTGGCAGCTTTGCTCGGAAACGCACCAGGTGATGGTGGAGGAGATCAAAGTGGACTTCTCACAGGTACGTCACTTTTTTCTACATTTTTGAAAGTCTTTTGTCAAATAAAAAAAAACAGATGCTGGTCATTGTAGCCTTTAAAAAATCTTACCTTCTGGAAGACCCAGAATTAAGACAGCTCCCATCCACCCCTGGTATTAATAGACCCAGACATGCTATCTGTTTCTGCCTGTTTATCTGTCTCCATTTTTTGCCTTAGTAAAATGTCAGGCCTGCTGCAAATTTGCAGCAAATCTGCAGCAATATTGCTGCAAACTGCAATTTCTTATGCAGATTGGCTACAATATTGCTGCAAATAAGCAGCAATAAAATTTTTCTTGCAAACTCCTGCATACTAGTTGCAGCAAACTTTGAGTTTACAGCATAATACTGCAATTTGTTGCAATATAGCTGGAAACTTTTCATTTTGCTGAGGGTTTTTACATTTTACATTTCTTATCTTTATATGCTTTTCATTTCATAGGTTTATTTTAATCCTGACTTACATATTTTAGTGCCAATTTTCTTCATCATCCTGGTTGTAGCTGTGGTGGTGCTAGGAGCTGTGGCAGTAGTGCGACGGAGACGTGGTTATCCTTGGTTATGGAAAGATGAAAAGTTGAAATTCTGGCGACCAAAAAACAGGCGGGGAAATGCAACTGCAGGTGTAAGTGTATATTATTTATTAAATGACCTGATAGTAGAATCAAGCAGAATATAGTTTTTTAATATGACAAAAAAAGGAAAAAATCCATCAAAACCGCATCCTATCCATTTTAATTTGTTTATGCCACACCTTCTCTTACATTTTTTCATGGAGGGTAAATATGTCATTAGATTTTTAAATAAAAAGTTTGTTTGGTTACGTATATAACACCACTGTGATGTGCTGCAATAAGTACAGAGAGGAGAGAAATCATTAAAATATGCAATCAAAATTCATCTGTATCCCTGTATTTTATGTAAGTCAACTGTTTTAAAAGTCACGTCGGTATGCATGTAAGGCCCAACATAGAGATCAAGTGTCAAAATGTTATGAGATTTTGATTTTGATATTGAAACAGTAATTTGGCTCACATTATTTTGAGATTAACCCAGCACACTCCAGTTTGAATGTTAGAAGTAAATGTAGAATTTATTATAAAATATATTCCAGATTTATTTACACTTTGTTAAAGTGCATACAGCTCAAAAGGAATCTGTTTTGCTTATTTCAATTCTTTATGTCCAGCATGTCTTTAGAGATAAAATACTGACAATTTTAATTAAAATATTTCATTCTGCCAGTACATAACCTCCACTTCAGTTGTGAATTAAGTGCAGTGAACTTCTTATTTGCTATAAAGACTTTAAACATTTTAGTACAATAACTATACATATGATGAAGATCAAGACCAGGGCATTTACTATGAGAGTGAGGCATATGGTAGAAGCGTGGAGATTTCCAGCAGCCATATTGTTCTGGGAGACACACTCTGCAATGGCCATTTTGCTATAATAAGACATGCTGAGTGGACTCCTGATAGACAGAATTCTATGGCAGTTATTGCAAAAATGTTGAAAGGTACATTTTATATTTAGACTACTGACTTTGTGATTATTATATAACATGAGAAAGCTGTCTTTAACAGCCATTCAATTTGCTTTATGTATTTGTAACAAATGCATTATATTTATTGTAACATAAAAAAATCACTAATACTTCATTATACAATGACATTCATAATATCCTATGATGATTTTGTGTGATATGAAGGCCAAACCTTGGATGTAATTTTATTTGAAATATGCTCTTCTGTTAATCCCAAACTTTTAAGATGCCAAGAGCAAGGCAGACAGGCAGTTGATGTTGGATAAGATAGAGTTCATTGGAGATGTTCCTCGTCATGAGAATGTTCTGACCATGCTTGGAAAGGTGACCGATGACCTTCAGACTGGTAAGAGTGACCAGTGCTTTGTCCAGTCTTATTTATTTTGGAGTCAGTTGTAAAATCAGCACTAGTACAGTCAATATCAGAATATTTTCCTACACGTGTTACGTACAAGGTAGCCGGTAAGATGCCATTTGTGGCAAAGGCAGGTATTTGATCCAAATTTACCCATCTGATTCTCAAAGAAAATAATATCTATTAGTATGTGCTGAAAAGGAGCTTCATTTATATCCAGTTTGGTCAATTTCTGCTTCTGCATCAATACAGGCATTTCCATTATACATGTAGCTTTTTGTATACATACATGGAATTGTTATTAGATAATTATGACTGCTAGTATAGTACTAGTAATCTCAGTATAAAAATTTCACAAAAAAGCAGAATAATTTTGTTAGTGGCAAAATACCATGCAACGGTAATCAATATTTGTTACAGGCCCATACATGGTCTTGGAGTATTGCAGAAATGGTTCACTGCGTGACTGGTTGCTGGCACAGAAGGCAAAGGGAGGTGAACTGAGCGTCGACACCGCTGATCGTATGACGGAGTATGCTGTACAAATAGCAGCAGGGATGGAACATCTGAGTAACAACCTGGTAAATATATAATTATTTTACACATTTTATGTTGACTTCATGACTAGGATCAGTCTTATTTCATGACCTGTTCAGGATCCAATATTTAGACTGAAAGTTGAAAACTTTTAAAACTTAAAAATCTTGATAATAACAGTGTTTTCAATCTCTGCAGTCAACCTCTCCCCAATATTTTGGGGGGAGGGGGGCGTTACACAGTTTCTTGTATATATCAATATTTTTAGTAAAAAAAGGTATTACTGGTTCAGAGGATTTACCTGATTTCAGTGAATTTAATACCCAAGGCTATCACGCCTTTGTTTACTACAGTCACTGTTATGTGTTCTTTTTCTGTCCCGAATTTCTTTTACCAAGTTTGATATTAAATTCTTGCATATTGTACTTTTTCTCTTTCAAGATTGTTCACAAGAGGCTGATGTCTAAGAATGTCCTCCTCAATGGTAAAATGGTTGCCAAGGTGATGGGATTTGGTCCCGAGGGAAAAGATGCAGCCAAAAACAAGGTGTTTTGCTTTCCTAACAAAAGTGTGTAGCAACCAGAAAGTAATGTGATATAAATATATTATAATGTCTGGCTTAATTGATATTTTTCTTACAAAGATTTTGTTATCTGTTAAATATTGATAAAAAAAATGTTGTGATGGTTATCATTGTCTTTTTATATCACCAGAGTCGTTTACCCACCAAATGGATGGCCTTGGAAATTCTGCAGGATCCTCAACTGAACTATACCACTGCGTCTGATGTCTGGGCCTTTGGTATCACTTTGTGGGAGATATACAGCCTGGGTGAGTCTTTATCAAAATTTGTCTGTATATAAAAGTTTAAATTTCATGGTTAAAATTCCCAGCTTTCTGATATATTAAATAGTAATACATTAGTCTGCAAACTCGTTTTCTACCCAACAGACTTTCACATCTAACACACTGTCAAATTAACACATTACACTATCCAGATTGTGCTCGACTTTTTAGGTGATCTTCCTTATCCTACTGGACACAAGGACAAACTGATAACCCTGCTGGAGAGTGGAACCCGCCCAGACAAGCCTGTAGAGTGCCCAGATGATATGTGAGTGTGTTTGACTAGTTGAGCCTCCAACTGTTCAAATTGCGTTAGTTGTGATTGTGATTGTGAATGCATGTAATATATTTTCTTAGCTCACAGATTAAGGGGATGACAGTATTTCTATAAGTCCACAATTGAAAACATTTCTGCTTTTCATAAAATTATTCATTGCAGCTACAACCAAGTGATGCTGAAATGCATGTACCATGATCCAAGCAAGCGTCCATCATTCCAACAGATTAAGAACCAGTTGAATGATTTCTTCCACCCACCCCCAGATGATAGTGGCATGTACTATGGTTTATAAGGGTAGCTGTGAACATGTGTCTTGCAACTTCACATGCTGTTCGTTGGAGATGGAATAAAGAACAGATTACTCTTTGGAGATTGAAATAAGGACTGATTACTGGACACTGATAAAACGATTTTATTTGCAGTCTTTAGAAGACTCAAAGTAGCTGCCTTTGCTGCTTAAAATGTGTTTACGTACAGTATGTGTTATCCCCACATTCCCATACAGAAAATGTACCTGTAATATTACCCCCCCCCCCCCCCCCATGCTCTTGAACAGTGATAATATAAATCAGTGGTCTGCCTCGTAAGACATATTGCATATACCCATAACTTGCATGTTGTATGGAAACTATACATATTCTGGATGGAAAATGAACAATAACTGCCATTGCAATTAGGCGCTTATGTGTTTTGTTATTATACACCACTTCGTTTGGTTGATTGTTAATTACTATTACTGGATATTAGAAATGCAGCAGTAAAATATGTAACATTTTAAATGAAGAATGTGATATGGAGCCCATGATATATAATAAAAACAAATTTAAAATGTGTGTCAGTGTGTGTTGGAGGCAAAACAGAAGGTGTTATATCAAGTTATAACCTGACAGAAAGTATATATATATTATATTAGGCTTAAAAGCTTTGGTAGACACAATTTTGATAAGTTGATGGTTCCTAGCATCTTGTGTCAAATGTTTTGATTATTCAAATATATAATAATCTAGAACTTATTTAATCACATTTTTGATGAACGCATTACAGTAATTATAGTTCAAAGATAAAAGTTGAAATATTACAATTAAATTGACCATTTACCTGTTTGCAGTAAAGTGCTTCAGCAATTTGTTTGTTTGTTTTATTTTTTTCAATTGTTTTACTTTTATGAAGAGCATTTTGTGGTTGCTTTACAGGTATATTTTCAATTGCTCAAGGTCAGTTTATCATGCTTTTTGGTAGTACACTACCACTGAAATTACCTAAAAAAGCCATTCTCCCCCCACCCCCGGCTCGCACTTAAGTTTTAAGAAGATTTTCATCTAATGTACAGGTTGCTATGAAGCTACTCCAACCCAATGAGGTCTGTCTTTTTTAACCATTGCGATATTTCCTTTTTGAGCTTAAATAGTACTTTGAGCTTAAACAGTATACTGTATCTGACAGTTTTTAAAACTAGTTATATTTCCGACAGAAAATGTGTGGAAAATGTACGGATAATTGTGGAAGTGTGCGGATGCTGGTCGAATTATACAAGCATGTATCACGAATGTTGCAGGTGTTAAGAAATCATCAACCAATTTTGTGCGCAATCCATGCGAAATTTATCCTTAACGCCAGTGGGACCTGGGCCTTAATGTACAATCCATGGATTATCCACATACACCTATCGACACAAAAAGTGAAACAGACAATTTTGTAAAGAAGCATAAAAGGCAAAAGTCGTCAGCTTGATATGGATAACCATGGAGTACAAATAGTTATTTGCACACCAAACGTGCACGTAGCTGTCAACCTGCACAAAGACAGAGCGGTGCGTCGATTAGGGGCCTAGTGATATGGATATGTAGTCTGGCTGACTTAAGGAAATGACTCAATCTTTTCATGGGCAAATTTTATCATCTTTCAAATACATACGGTAATGTGCCATGAATTACGAACGGCTGGTAAACTTCGATCCTTTGAGGGATTCTAGACACGTAAAAATCCATTTCTCGAAATTTGAAGATTCAGCACTCAATCCACACACTAGATATATGTTTCAATCGATCCCCACCTTTTAAAAAGTATAAAAACAATCTATTGGTAGAAAAAAAAGCGTTTTAGTAATCCTCACCTCAATATGCAAAAATGAAGCAACAGATCTGGGTCACGTGGTACTTTGACGACAAAGACGATAAAGGTCTTTGAGACTCATCTGAGCTGCATGCTAAATACAGACAGAGAAGTTTAGGAAAGTTGTGTTGAGCGGGGTTGGGCAATTTTCGTTATGCCTCGGTGTGTTGCCGTGGGATTCACCAAACCCGCTCTTCGAAAAATTGTATTATGACAGCGTGCTATAAAGATCTACTCAACAAAAATTTTAATTGGGTAATTTGAGTACCGAATGAACTGGAGACACTGAATTGTCATTAATTTTTCACAAAAATATGTCCTTGACAGAATAAAGATTGAAACATAATTTGAGACAAACACTGACCGGGGAAATATCCACAAGGAGTAACGGGCTATTGTACCAATATCTTCTTGATAATTTTACAGTGCAATTCTATTTAAATAAAAATAATTTCACAGAAATATAAGGAATGAATTGCCAAATTTAGACTTTCATCACATAATCTAGCTGTAGAAACTGGAAGGTAAACAGGCACAAATAAAAATTAAGAACTTGTTAACTATGTATTTTAGATGACTTAGGGGATGAATTTCATTTTATTCGGTCTTTTAAGACATTTAAAATGTCTTTGCTACAGAACGATTAGGCAGAATTACGTCAAAAATTATTAAACAAAGCAAAGTGTTTTCAAGCTAATTGTTATCACTTAACAATGTTTCACAATTAAAGTCATAATAACTCTTCGTTTTGGCCAAAAATTGGATTTTCCTGGAGTAAACGGCAATTTTCCCGTACTTACCAATGGTCAACGACCCCATTCCTGCATTCAAAGTGAGTCTAGGGTTTTTTCCCTAAACGCTTGGTTTGTTGTTAAAATATCTTAAGAGATTTTAACTGACGGGGCCCTCTCTGACATTGCATAGTCACGCGATATCGAGCGGGGTTTTCCGGTGACCTACTTAAAACCGCGGGAAAAGCAGACAACAACAACAACACTTTATTACAATAAAATAAGACTCATACGATATAATAGTCTTATTGCTCAAAATGCATTTATATCTACAATGTGTGCAGTTATGGGCATATTGTTATCCGACGCACTGTACAAAAACTCGCAACTTACGTCTGAGGATTGCATCATACGCCTGCTATATCTTATCCCGCCAAATGTTATTTGGTTTCGAATGAACGCGAGAATCCGCGTGACACGCCAAAGTCCTTGGTAACGGATGCCTTGACGACCGAGAAGAAAGGCACCGAAAGCCCTATTGACAAGCACAGTTTTTAGTTTTACTACAATGACAGCCGTTTTAGTGGTGAAATGCAATATATTATATTTACATGCGTTGTTTAGAATGTATTTCTTGCGGAATTTTGAATTTCAAAGGAAGAGTTATTATTGCTTTAACTACTTATGTAAGTGCTTAAAATGTGCATCGGAGCTAAGATTGACGTCAGTCTGATGAGTTTTTATCATTACTACAAGTAGTTGTATTGTTGTTGTTGTTGTTTTTATGACTTTATATTTTTATTGCATTTCATTGTGATGAGCCGTAGGGCGCAAGGGTTTAATAAATTGAACTGAATTGAATTTTATATATAACATGGACCTCATATCGAATGATCAAAAGTACCCTCAAGTCATTCAAATGCAGTATTTTATACTAGTTGGGATAACCATAATTAAATGCTAGTTGAAGAATTGAATAGACTGGAAAATGGCTTTAAGCCTCGGTCACAACCGGCCGTACGGGCTCTTACGGGCTGTTTGTGTCCAAATTTTGCGCAGAATCTCATTTCCCACACAAGTCCTTCTTACGAAATTTCGAGTTCGCAGACAGCCCGTAAGCACGTACGGAGGATGTTGGACATGTCCCAAAAGATTCTTCGAATAGCCTGCGAACAGCAAGGCCGCGAATGTAACTGTAACTTGCTCACCTCGCACGGAGTTAGCAAGAGAGACGCGCTTTGTGCAAGACGCACGTCGCAAGCTATGAAGGAGCAATTGAGTGCCCTTTGCGTGTTGAGTAAGGCGCACGCCCTCACAACTAACGAACAAAGTCGAGAGCACACCGGGAATGCGTCGCACGTGCGTCACCCCCACGCCTGGTGAATAAAAGGCTTGCTCACGACGCACGCTCGTGTCTTTACAATGAACGTCGACTGTGTAACGTGTATAACAATTTTCAAAAATTTCAAATTTTTGCTCAATTTAGTTTCTAATATGCCTCCAAAAGGCAAGAGAAAGAAGCTTACATAGTAGAAAAAAGGGAGGAGGAAGAAGAAAGAAGAGGAGAACAGGAAGCAAAACTGACGTACGCCGTCAGTACGTCACCACAAACGTGTGAGGCAAATGAGTAGCAAAACTGACGCAAAAGGGCACTACTTTCGCCGTGCGTTGCATTCCCTTCGTAAGTGGTGAGTGTGTGCCGCGTACACAGGATGCAAGACAAACTCAAGAAATTAGTATAATTTCTACGGCCATCGCTTCTTGCAATTAGCGTCCCTGCTTGAAAGGACATCTCATGTGGCCCTTGCAACTCGCAAGGCAGACTTTCCTTTACCTCTACGACCTCCACGGCCTCCGCAACACTCAAAATAAAATTCGCAGGGGACGCACGATCCTGAAATTCGTGCGTCCGGTTGTGACCGAGGTTTACTAGGATTTAGACCCCTCGGGTAAGAGATTTGAATGAGTATGAATTTTTATCAGGAGTCAGAAAAGTCACCTTACAGGGAGACAATGTAGCTCAGTTTGACAGCTAAACACGCTGCTTGGCTCTCTCCTCCGGTGGCACGATTGTCGTCATCGGACCACGTGACCACGTAGCTTATTAACTCCCAGGCCGAGCAAAAAGTACGTTTTATAAAGCCCAAAATTTAAAAATGAGGTTTTAATTTGTGTATTTGTATAAATATATCGTTAGTTGGGCATGTTTTTTGAAGAATATGCTCCGTTCAGACCATTTCAACGAACTGACGAGAAACCTTTAAAATGAGCCGTATGGAGTTTTTTTTTCTTTTTCTTTTTTCTTTTTGCGCATGAATATTCGATCAGTGAGCCATTTTGCACAGTTGCGTTTTTCGGGAATTTCGGCCATCGGGTTATTTTTAGGGCTAATTGTGCGCCGTAGACAAGAAAGATATCACAAAATTATATTGCAATATAGCATACTTGGTGCTTTTACTACACAGAATAGAGCTATATATAGCGTAGTCTGTTTTTTTTTTTTTTTAATTTTTTCTACCACTCAAAGAAATGTTCTGATTTCAAGAAATTAGGACCTAGAAATACAGTATCTGTAAAATTCAAAGTTTTCCCCCAATTGAAAAGATTGAGTAATTACCGTACGGGTTCGTGCGGGTTTGCATTAGCTAACACGCAAGTTTCACTATGTACAGAAGTACACATTACTATCTTTGTAGTTGTCGTCATAAAAAGGACAATATTTGCTGAAGCGCAATTTTTTCCATTCCACTTCTTGTTGTTGACATAGGTCTTGAAATCAAGTCGACGCAAGCGACTTGATTTCAAGACCTATGTCAACAATATAAAAAAGGGCTGATCGATATTTGCTGTTGGAGTCCAGTATTTTTTCACTTCACTTCCTGGTTGCCGCCATGGGTGTGGGAAACGAGTTGGCATACCTGCTAATTCTGGCGATATATATCGTACCGTCCTTAACTTCAATAACATACACGTAAGTTTTAAATAATATTGAAAGTGATAATAACAAGATTATTTTTTGATCCCGTAATTTTTTCAAACCTGCGTTTCCATTACTTTTAAAGAGAGGAACAGTTCATTGGATTTTTTACCTCCGCCAAGGAGGTTGTTTTCACCCCTGTTTGTCTGTCTGTTTGTTTGTCTGTCATCAACATAACTCAAAAAGTTATGGACTTAGAAGTAATTAGTTTTTGGTGGTGATCCGGATCAATAATCAATCAATAATCAAAAATAATAAAAAATTGTTGCCTTGGCGGAGGTTTGCGCTCTCGGAGTGCTTTTCTAGTTGGAGAATGAGACCTTTGTTTTCCATTTTGGATATGTTTTGGTTCTGAAACTGGTCTTATAAACTGATTAGGCGTTTACTAACGCTACCCGCATAACTTTTAGCAATAACGCCCATATTAACCACATAACCCACAAATTAACCAGCACTACAAGAGCGGATGAATGTTAGTGCTAGGTATTGCTTTGTTGGTGCTAAATAATTGTATGGTTAATTCGTGGGTTTTTGTGGTTAATATGGGTGTTAGTGCTAAAAGATCTGCAGGTAGTGTTAGTAAACGCATAATCCGTTTATAAGACCCGTGAAAGGCACATTTCATCCATTTCAACCGATGATATCATAGTCCTTTCTCGAAATTGTATTTTTACTCGCATAACTTTTTTTCCCAGAAATTCTTCAATAGAAATTGTAAATACAATTTTGATAGACTTGAAAACGCAGGTAAATTGAGGATACTATCAAAAACTGTATTACAAAGTCTTTTTCTTTTCCACGCTAGAAAATACCTTATGCAATTTATTACCTCCGCCAAGGAGGTTATTTTTTCACCCCTGTTTGTCTGTCTGTCATCAACATAACTCAGAAAGTTATGGACCGATTTTGATGAAATTTTCAGGAACTTTCAGAAGTGGGCCAAGGAACAGAGGATTAGTTTTCGGTAGTGATCCGGATCAATGATCAATCAATAATAATAAAAAAAATTGCTACCTTGGCGGAGGTCTGCGCTCTCGGAGTGCTTTTCTAGTTTACATTTTGATTTGTTTTAGTGGACACGTGCGCACGTATACCGTGGTAGGCAGAACAGTCAGAATTAGATATTACACAACCAGCTGTGGGTTTTGGGGTTGGGGTAGGTCAGTATTTGTTTTATATTTATAACTCAAACGCTAAACAGTTTAAAGGGTTTGGGTAGGTCAGTATTTGCTTTATATTTATAACTCAAACGCTAATTTAACAGTTTAAAGGGTTAAAAATATTAGACACTAAGCTTCAGTTGGCCTTGGTAATTGTAGTTCTTTGAGGATTAAAACAGTAATTTTTGCTGAGTTGGTCTGTTTTCTAGTTGCGGGAGAACAGCTTATTATACATCCACACACACAGAATATCGTCAAAGGTGCGACACTGGTTGGATCGCTGACCGGTCAAATGCTTGTATTATCCGTAAGTATGTGACAGAGAGTCACCCATGGTAGAGTCCGGTCCCCATTAGTTTGTACAGGAAGCAGCGCGCCCTAGATTTTAACATACGTACGTCAGGTTAACCTGGTAGATTTTCTGCTAATGAACCCCTAGTTTTGTCGCATCTGTACGCATGTGCCGTAGTGAAAACAAGGAAAAAAGGAAAATATGACAGCTTTTTGTAAATCCCTCCTCTCCAATGGTCTGATTACTTCACTATTCAAATACTCGACTTGTTGATGAAATTGTTGCAAATGTATGTGCAAACTTGGACATAATAACGAATTCGTTATTATGTCCAAGGTGCAAATTATGTCATTGCTTAATTTTTAAAAAATAAAACATTTGTAATAGTGTGGAATATTTGACTTGAACAAAAAGTGTGGAGTAAACACTGGGCTGCTAAGGAAAACTTTTCTCCATTCATTGTACCACCAGCGCGTCGCTGGCGGTACACTTGGTTTTAGTCCTGACCCGTCTCGTCCGTCGCCATTTCACCGTCACCGCTTCTCCTCCTAGACTACAAGGGCCTGTATCATCTCTTGGATTTAGGTCACACATAATCTCATCGCATTCCACGTAAATTTTGGGCTTTGTCGGTGCATGGGTCTAGGTGTGGCACTCATCTCAATGCACCATTGGCCAAAAATTGCAAAATTCAATGCTAAACATCTCCCAAACCGAAGGAATTATGGGGCAATTTCTACAGATGTTTGACCGAATGTTATACGTGGAGATTTCAAATATGCCCTTGGATTTGACCTTTATTTAAAGGTCAAACAGGCCAAAAATTTTCTAAAAATGGGATTTTATTTGCAAGAAATTATTTGTGCCGATTTTCAGTAACTACACAGTATAACATCGCAATTTTCAGTGGTGAAAATAAAATGTGAAATAACTCCAAAATTAGCAAAGATATGACCATAGTTACTATTGAACTTTAATTGGAAGTCATATACTGGCAATCTAACTGTGACCTTGAAATTGAGCTTTGACCTACTTTTTAACATGAACTGAACTTTGCAAATTTTGGTTCCCTTTTATCTCCAAACTGGGTAAGATACGCCCATAGTTACTATTGAACTTGAATATGAAGCCATATACAGGCAATCTAAGTGTGGCCTTGAAATTGAGCTTTGACCTACTTTTCACCATGAACTGAACTTTGCAACTTTTCTGTTCCTTTTATCACCAAAACTGGCAGAGATACACCCATAGTTAACCCATAGTTACTATAGATATTGAACTTGAATAGAAAGCCATATACTGGCAATCTAACTGTGACCTTGAAATTGATCTTTGACTTACTTTTTGCCATGAACTGTCTGTTATATCTCCCAAACTGGCACAGATATGCCCATAGATACTACTGAACTTGAATAGGAACTCATGCATATATTGACAGTCTTCCTGTGACCTTGAATTTGAACTTTGACCTACTTTTCACCATGAACCCCTCTTCACAAATTTGGATTATACCTTATACTTCTCCCAATGATATAGTTATAAATTGTAATTTTCAACAAAAAGAAAAAAAAAAAAATAGAGAGCTTTTGTTTACTGCATTTTGTAGAGTTTGTCAAGCACGACAATGGAGGTGGTGTCCCCCCCCCCCCTTTTTTTGTTTTGTTTTCCATATAAGCCCAGCAGGCATAGTCGCGCACCATTACTCCCCCACTCCATCACATTTACAGCAACTTATTCAGGCCTACCCAACTACCAGACTCGGAACCTACGGATCCAGAATAAACCGGTATATCAGACCACACTACCCGTTTTCAAGGTGTGTGTCAGATCGCATTACACAGTATCATACCCCATCACAAATTTTGTAAGCCTACCTGTCATCCGGGTATCGCGCCTCGTTTTCATCAAGTAGGAGTCGTATGAATACAACAACATGGAAATCGGCAATCCTCGGCTCATTCCGCAAGCTCCATACTATTGTCGAGTGCGGAGACATCGGAGTAGTTCCGAGTGACAACATGGCGACAGACGACTGACTGAATCTCGTCCAGAACTTCCGCTATCAAAATTAGGTCTACTTTTCTAAATGAATGTATAAGTTTGCAAGTTCTTATTTACAAAACATCATTGGCTATGTTCAAACCTAAATTTTATGTTAAAAATTGCGGTATTGTCAGATTTGTAGCATAAACAGGGAAAATTGCAGCAGCGCATGAATCTAGATGAGATGCACTACTTTCCAACCCCGCTTTAGACCACGGTGGAAGTAAAGAACAAAATATTCAGACGTGGTGTAACTCGCATAACCGCACGTCTCGCATGAATGCGTTATAACCCGCTAATGGACCCGCACTCGTGTATGCCACATAACCCTCGCTGACTCGGGGTCTATCTATTACTACGATCATCGCTATCACATCGCGCACCAGGCAAAATCAGTGTGGTGGCTGATACTCTGTAATGCGATCTGACACACACCTTGAAAACGGGTAGTGTGGTCTGATATACTGGTTTATTCTGGATCCGTAGGTGCCGAGTCTGGTAGTTGGTTAGGCTTGTTATTCATCCTAGTGTTAGCTGACCTTGCAAGAAATTCAGTTTATTGGAATGTATTTCTGAATAACAAGTTAAGAAAATTCACTAGTTCACTAAAGACACAAAACAACTGTCACTTGTACTTTTAACACTTTTTTTGATTATTTTGATTAAGTTAGTTACAGTATTGATAAACAAAGTATCACGTTTTCAACAATTAATATTTTAAAATATAATCCATGTCTGCAAGGTTGTGTCAATGACCAAAATACAACGTTGAGTCAACGTCACATTATGACGGTGTTTCGCCGTGGCTGGATCAACGTTGATTTTAAGTTGAATTTAGGTAGATCAACGGCAATTCAGTGTATCTAAGATCTAATAAACGGTATATTAGATCTTAGAATGTATCAACCTGTTTTCAACGTTGATCCAAGGCCAAGGCAACTATGCCTGCTGGGTAGTTATGTTCTTATAAATATATATATAGTTATGTTCTTATCTATATATATATATATATATATATATATATATATATATATATATATATATATATATATATATATATATATATATTAATCTTAACCTTGGAAATTTTAACTTAAAGGCCATACATATATACCCTGCATATATTTAGCCATCAAACATGTCCTACTGCTAAACACATCCAGGCTAAAAGGGTGTACCATGCTTACGTGCAAAACATGCTTAGGAGCCTAATGCGTTGAAAATATCAGACAATTAAAGCAGGCACTTGGATGTTTTTACAGTGTACGTTATAATTGTGTACCTGTGTTTTGTGGCAAAAATAAAAACATTTCAGGTCATTTTAATGTCTTTTCATGCAAGAATGCTGTCTAACAACTGGGGTTGATACAGTGTTGTTATCTGACTTTCAAATCCAATGTTTATCCAACGTATTATCAACATTATGGTTCAATGTTGTTTCAACATTAAAACAACATAATTTGCCCACTGGGAATGTGCTTACTCCAGCTGGTGGTACAAGACCTGGAGGCGGTATTGTCTCTCTCTGATCCTCTAGATTAAATTGTGTTTTTCAATCCAATAATCTGCCAACTGTAGGGGAGACCGGGGCTAGTTGGACCCCGGGGTAAGTTGGCCCCCCGTCAATTTATGAAAAAGTAACTACGATGTAAAAAAAATTGGCCACATACTCTTGTAAAGTGACCGTAGCCTACAATGCTAAGGAAGTGTCGGACGTTAAAAAGTTTTACTTAAGCGGTGAGTCGAAATAAACTTTTTTTGCACCTAAAAGTAATTTTGTTTAAGAGATTGAAAAATCTATTTTCATATGCTTTTGATCGAATATAAGATATGTATAGGGCATCAAACTGAAGCTCATTGTTTCAAGTTTCACGGAGATGTGTCATCGTTGCTCATTCTAGCACCATGAATGGCTAACATCCTTTAAAATAAATAATGTGCACCCGGGGCTAGTTGGCCCCCTTGACACGGGGCAAGTTGGACCCTCACATTACCCACAATCCTTTGCGCGCAACGCTGTTTGAAATAAACTAGTTGGTGAAATTGACAAAGCTTGCCGGTGTTTACCGTCTGATTGATTTTATTTAATTTGCTCTCTGGTGTTTTTTTGAAAATTTATATTAGAAATGTTCTGTTGATTGTATGTATTAATTTGGTGATTGGTGTTTTTTTGAAAATTTATATTAGAAATGTTCTGTTGATTGTATGTATTAAAAAGCGAAACTTTCTTTAGAAAAACATTTATTTTGCCTTAATTCATTGTAAGGGGATTCAATTTGTATTTACAGTGTTATATGTGGCCCCAAGGGGATTTCCCACCCCTCCCTAGCACACGAACAAGGTCCCACGAACAATATGTGGGGCCTCGATTTGAAACCTGTCAGCTTTTGTTTTTTTAATCTCCAAATACTTTAAAAATTTTATAAATCTAATAAATAGGCCGTCTATAAGAACCTATTATATCGCATCTTTTATATTAATTATTATTACATATCACAATAATAAAAGAGTCGCCTTTTGATTTACGCCCGGCTATAAACTCTATTAAAAAATATATCCATTTTTACGAGATTACAAATTGTATCGTATTGTTTGGTTCCATTGCCTCACTTGCGAAAAGTGCGCTGTTTGAAATGAACAAGTTGGTGAAATTGACNTCAAATGGAGGATGGTTCAACAAAAATAATTTAAATAATTTAAAACCAGGTTTTAATATCATTTAGCGATTTTACGACAATCGTTTACTATCCAATCCAGCGTGCGCGAGCGTGAGACAGTACATATCAGAATCGTCAAAGCACAGGCTTCAAACAACTGCGCATGCGCGAAAAGTGCGCTGTTTGAAATGAACAAGTTGGTGACAAAGCCTGCCGGTGTTTACCGTCTGGTTGATTTTATTTCATTAGCTCTCTGGTGTCTTTTTGAAAGATTATATTAAAAATGTTCTATTGATTTTATGTTGTAAAAAGTAAATCCGTCTGAATTCCGTAGAAAAACATTTATTTTACCTTCATTTTACGGGGATTCCCATTGTATTTATAGTGTTATGTGTGGCCCCAATGGGGATTTTCACACCTCCCCCACTCTTGATTAATAAAATTCTTCATCTGGAGGATTGTAAATTATATTGCAAAATACATTGAAAATCGTAGGAAGGTTAACTGCAGATAATGCTGCGAGGATATTCTTAACAGTGGGGGAACTCGGTCAATATAAAATTTTTATAACTTCGTTTTACGATTTTGGAGCGCCTGTTCTAATTTTTGAAACCGAGGCAATGGAACCAAACAATGCGATACAATTTAAATCTCGTAAAAATTGCTATTTTTATAAAAAGGTCATCGCATGGAGTACATCGAAATGCGACTTGTTTATATTATGATTTTAAATAATAATTAATATAAAACAAACGATATAATACGTTCTTAACGTTAGCCTATTTATTAGCTTAATTGATTTTTTTTCGTATTTGGAGATTAAAAACACAAAAGTTGTCTGGTTTCATATCGAGGCACCACGTTTCGTTCGTGTGCTCCCCTCCCTAGCTAGAGACCATTGTTGAAACAAACTCAGTGGTTTAAAACTGAATTTGTTACTTTCTTTTAATACGAAATTTATTATTCGTTTTCAATTATTAAAACCCTGCTTTATACCATTATAAATATATTCTTAATTAAAACAAAACAAATTTTATTGATAGATATTTTGGTTCTTGCAACACATACAAAGTGACAATAAATCTGCC